TATTGGTATATCTAGTTTTGCAAAGGGGGAATGACTGAAGATAAGATTGTGCTGACGGCTATTCCCGTTACCCTGACGGACATCAGTGTCATGGTACGAAACGGTCATCACTTGTGAACTTGGGATTGTCGGATATTTCGAGACATCCTTGATATCCTTTGCCAACCATCAGGATGTCGTCCTTGATCACCATCGTGCGCAACAGTATGAAAACGCCCTAACTAACCATTATCGCATATACTCATACCTCTTGTCCTCTCCAGAGTTCTTGGAAGCGATACGCTCTGTCAACCCACCGTCAAGATGGAAGATACTCGTTGTCGACGATCATTCTCAACGGCTCTTGGGCGCGGTCTTGAAGCAATTTGATATTCTTGAAGAGAATGTTACGTGTGCGTTGTAAATTGAATTGGAGCTGCTAATAGTAACCCGTACCGACTAAACGACAGTGATCGAATCTATTGGAAACGTTCGCGAACCTCAGCCGGAGTTCGAAGCTCTGTACTTGATTATGCCCACAACCCAGAACGTGGACCGCATCATCAGGGACTTTTCCAATCAAAAGCAGTATGCTGCTGCCCATCTCTTCTTTGTCGAAGGTAAGTCGCGTGCTTTCCAAGGCGGCTAGCTTGGTTTGGATCATAAACGTGAAGGATTACCGGAACCGCTATTTGAACGTCTTACGTCTTCCCCTGCGGAGCCCCACTTGCAAGGGTTAAAGGAACTCTTCCTCAACTACAATGGTAAGCTCTGAAGTCAAGACGACAGACCTGCGGTAATCGTATTTCACTCTAGCTATTGAAGCACAAGTATTTTCAATGCGAGAACCAAGCTACTTTTTCAGTATGTATAGCCCTCCAAGGACAGATGCAGCATATAAGCCAGCGCGGGCCCGTCTCGAAGAAGACTTATGGTTTATGAGTAAAATGGTTAGTCAAAGTTAGGTATATCAGTATGGAGCGCGGACTGACGCTTCGAAGATCGCTAATGTGTGCATATCTCTGAACGAGCTGCCCTTTATTCGATTCTACATGCCCTCAAGCCATCTTCCTCTTGGTCCCTTGAAGCCCAACGCCCAAAATCGCCCACCAGCTCCACCAGAAAATGCCAGTCGTTGGAGGACAAACCTTGCGCGCGGATCTGAAGCAAGAGCGTATGAAGCTGTAGAGTCTGACTTCGTCACGAAGCTGCTCGCTTTTAGGGTCCAGCAAAACCTTGAGGAACATAAGAAATTAAATCCTGAGTTTGGAGTCAGCAATCCCTCTAATCACTGTGTGCTAAGACTGATTAAATCATAAAGAAACCGGATCCTGCTCGGCCCAGAGCAACTTTACTGATCACTGACAGGTCAATGGATATGATGGCACCATTTGTACACGAATTTACTTACCAGGCTATGGCCAATGACCTCTTACCTATCGAAGACGGCAACAAATATTCGTCTGTTATCACCTTCTAGCCATATAGTTAAACAATTGACCAGAACTTTATCAGATACAAATTTCAATCATCAGTTGGCACCTATGAAGACAAAGTAGCCACCCTCTCGGATATCGACACTACTTGGACTGCCGTCCGCCACCTCCATATGCGGGAAGCCATAGACAAGTTGATGGCCGACTTCAACAAATTTTTAGAAGACAATGCCGTCTTTAACGGGTTCGTATGTCGTCCATATCTATGATCCGCACTTCCATATCGTTATTTTCCAGTGAAGGTGCTGCCAATCTTAATGATATGAAAGATATGCTTGCGTCTCTCCCTCAATATCAAGAACATCGCGAGAAGGCAAGTTTCGACTTTCTTATTTCACTCCATTCTAATGTTCCTCTTAAATATAGTTCTCTTTGCATCTAAACATGGCACAAGATTGCATGGAGATATTTGAGAAGCAGAAGCTTTCCGATATAGCATCCGTAGAACAAGTATGCATGCGGCTGTATCACTACAGGTTTAAGTTGTTACTAATAGGTCACAAAAGTCTTGCGCAACTGGCCTCAATGCCGAGGGGAAAACGCCCAAGGGTCTCGTCGAAGAAATGGTGCCTCTCCTAGACAGCAGAGATGTTCTGTAGGTTATGGTTATGTCGCATCTCTCAATGCTTTGTTACTTATATTTCCACTAGCAATATGCGCAAAGTTCGAGTCATTGCATTGTACATCCAATACCGTGACGGTGTCCCAGACGAAGACAGACGACGGCTCTACCAACATGCCAGGCTAACGCTCGCCGAGCAAGATGCTGTGAATGCCCTTTTGCACCTCGGCGTTCGGCTGACAAGAGTGAGTGTATCATTTTGCTTCTATTCAACGTATGAACTTTTGCAAAGGGTCCGAACGACAAAGACTCGAAAAAGAAGATAAAACAGAAGTATACACCCGACGAATATGAACTTTCCAGATTTAAACCAGCATTGAAATCCGTCCTCGAGGTATATACTTCCTCGCCAGCTAGTCGCCCGATTTGTCTAATCAAGATGCTACAGGATCAAATTGGCGATAAGCTGGATGCCATCTCGTTCCCATACGTCAAGGATGCACCTTTGGCAACACCACTTTCGCCTCGGTCCCCCCACCGCAAACAACGTCCTTGCGAAGCCAGAAGCCAGCCTGGCACAGGGCTCCGAAAGCAGCAACAGTAGAGAACCGACAGCGGGTTCTGATATTTGTTGCAGGTGGGATTACTTATTCGGAAATGCGAGAGGTTTATAATCTCTCCAGTTCCTTGCATAAGGATATCTTCCTCGGTGAGCTTTGTGAATGGCAGACTAATGATATTGATTGATATAATATTTCAGGTTCAACCCATGTTATTACTCCGAAGGGATTTGTCGATGATCTCAAGGTCCTTGACCTCGGGGGCGCAGGCTCCAAGGCTATACCCAACGGTCTTCGAGATATGAGAGGAGAGCCCAAGACAATCCAACAATTGTATGACGAGAAATATTTTGTCAAAGATCAGCCCCCACCTCAAAAAGGCCCTGCGAAGACCCTCGCTCCCCGTCCTGACCGGGTGGCAGCACCCATACAACCATCCCCAACCAGTTCATTCCAAGGTTCCGTCAATTCTATCACGCCGTCAGTGAAAGATGAAAAGAAAAAGAAGCGAGGTCTCTTCCGATTTGGTTGATTGATGATTTCAAGTTTTGGATGTAATTATAATAGTCGCAGAATGATGTAATGTGAACACATATATATATACCTCTGGGGTGAATTGAATGATCATTATCACTTTAATATTCTTCAATGTGTCATACAAAAGAATGGATAAGTCGAGAAATAGGTATGTAAAGTACATGGCAGCAGCGATTACGTCGAATATTCCATCTTTGCTGGACGAGCCGTTAGTTAGAAGTAACAAAGACTGTAGGAATATGTGCTTACTCTCGTGTTTCTTGGCCTCTCCGACCTTCCGAGCGGCTTTGGTGAGATCCTCTTGGTTGACATACTCCCTGTCGTCACGAATGGCAAACATGCCCGCCTCCGTCACGACATTTCGCAGATCTGCACCATTGAAACCATCTGACAGCTGCAAGCGAGCATTAGAAGTATCCTCAAATGCGAAGGTGTGACAATTTACTTTGACAATGCCTCATAATCAATGTCGCCGCCTTTGTTAACAGGAGCTGCATGTATTTTTAAGATCTCAAGTCTTGCTTGTTCATTCGGTAGCGGAACTTCTATCTTGCGGTCTAATCGTCCGGGACGCAAGAGGGCAGGATCCAGGGTATCGGGCCGATTTGTAGCCATGATAAGCTTCGTTCTCCCTAAGGAGTCAAATCCGTCCATTTGATTCAGAAGCTGGATGAATGGAAAAATCAGTAAGTCAGTAAGGGGTAGAACATTATTTCAAATAGAACGTGCCTCCATAAGTGTCCGTTGGATTTCACGATCTGCGCTGGTACCTTCAGAGAAACGACGACCGCCAATGGCATCAATTTCGTCCATGAAAATTACGCAGGGTTCGTGGTCCCTCGCATATCCAAACATTTCACGGACTACGCGAGCACTCTCTCCAATGTACTTATCAACAATAGCAGACGAGACAACCTTCAAGAAATTTGTTTGTAACGTGGCGGCCACCGCCCTAGCGAGTAACGTTTTGCCTGTACCAGGAGGCCCATAAAGCAGCACGCCCTTCGGCGGCTTTATGCCAACACGGACGAAAAGTTCGGGATTCATGAGAGGCAGTTCAATTATCTGATTGGAACTGATGTGAGGAAACAGCAAAGGGCATGCATGGCCAATAAGTACCTCACGAAGTTCTCTGACTTGCTCGCCTAAACCTCCAATGCCAGCAAACGATGCACCTCCTGGATCCTCTAAGCTCATCTTATAGACAAGGGGATCAACTTCTCGAGGCAAAATGCGCATAATCGTTAGGGTTGTCATATCTAGGGAAACTCGAGTGCCGGTCTTGAGTTTCGCGACAGGAAGTGTAGGGCGGTACGAGACGACATAGCGAGGACCCGAGGACGCCTTTACAATAACTAAGGATGATAAATCAGTCAGAGAGTGTGGAAATGGAATGCGGAAACCGACTAACATCGGTCCGAGTCCAATTGCTTCATGACTTCACCAATGATCTGGCCTACAGACTGTACTGCTTTGATATCGTCCTCAGTCTTCTCGTAAGCTTTTTCTAAGTCCTTTAAAGAAAATCTGACTGGAAAGAGAATATTAATGTGAATGTGTGACAATATAGCTGAATTTGACACTGACGATTCTTCAGGTTTCGCTGCTTGCTTCATGACTGCGTAATTTCTGCAATGCAATGAACAGGAAAGAAACATCGCAAAAGACCAATAAATACCTCTCTATATGCCTTTAAAGTATCTTTCCTTCGCTGGTCCATAGCTCCCGATGAGGTTGAAGGGATTGCGTCCATGATGGTAGAATGAAAAAGGTTAACGAGTGACTTCAATTCAGGACGCGTAAGTGTCTGACGCGTCCCAACCTAGATGTCAGTACTCTATCCATCTGATTGTAATATGTATTATCGGCCTGATGGTCTAGTAGTATGATTCCTTGTTAGGGCCCACTTGCGGGAGTTTCGAGGAGGTCCCGGGTTCAATTCCCGGTCAGGCCCTGTTAATTTTTTTGAATTTAGATTCATATTCTACGATACAGTATGCGGTAAAAATTTTTGGAAGACGCAGACGAAGTCGAAACTGTATGGATGGGTATTGAGTAGTGACGACCTTAAATACAAGAAATTGTAACCCCAAGAACCCAGCTATGGGGGTGTAACAGGAGATTCCGTGGTCTAATGATGATGGGCTGTAGGCGCAGGTGTGGCCTGATTCCCGGCCATAAACGTTTTCCAAGCTGCTCGAGTAGCTGAAAGGGAATATATACGTTGATGGAGATTGCCAGTTACCATAAGCGACATTGTCTGCTCCCAGCAGGTTACCCGCTATAGACTTGACTTCGCCACCGACTACGGTGACAATGCCCGGTCGGATCGTCTTCACTAGCCCTGTAGGATTGCTCCCGAGAATAAATTCTCGCAACATCGTAAATGCCTGAGCAGCGAGGATTAGTGTCCCAACATAACTCTTATTGAATTGTTGCCTACCGAAATTGGAGCAGTCTCCGCTAGCAAATGACCAGCACCATATGCTAGGACATATGTCCAGCCACGCTCTTGGTGAACCACTCCCGCAAACTCTCCCGCATCGTTGGTCCAAGGAGTAGAGGGTTGCCTCGTAAAACCCTGTATACCGCCAAAGGTCGTGTTCTGTAAGTATGATAATTGCCTTAGCTTGCAACTTTCTTCCATTTCTCAACACTACATACCTGTATGGCAACTAATAAAACGAATGTCAGCCAGCAAACCCAGAAGGAAAGGCTATTAAACTACCTTCTGTCCCAAGGTGTGGAATGAGAGAGTCGTCGTTCCCAGAAAACAGGACTACTCCAACTCCGCGTGCTGTCGCATTGGCAGCCAGAGCATTAAAAATGTTAATGGCCCTTAAAGAAACCTAAGGACGTCATAAAATACCGAGGCTTTGGCGACTTACATGGGACCTTTTCAGGTAAGTCAGGAAAATGTCAAAAAAGTCCCCCAAGAGGATGCAAGACCAGAAACCTACTGGGATCGTTACCGCCGTCTGCAAAAGACGTCAGGACAAAATCCGTGGTAACTGATGAACCACACTTACTCGCACCAAATGGGAAGTCAGACGATTCTTCCCAATCTATACTTGTCGGCGCGTGAAGGGCTGTTTTCGTCCGGGGATCTGAGGTACGGTTGAGGTCGAATTGAATGGCAGAAAAGGTCCAAGCTTACCATTCAAGAAGACACTAGCATCATTTGGAACTTTGGGGTTTGTAGCATCAGGGATATCATATACCTATGGAGGGCGTGAGAAACGAGTCAAAACTTAAGGCAGATGTCATTACATTGAAAGGGAAACCGTCAGGGTTATTGGTTAGATCTGGGACAGTTGAGCTTAAAAATGTGTACGAAATGTCGATAGAGATACATACTCCATGGAAACGTGAAGTTGATGGCGTAGTCGACGAATTCGTCCAACAGGAAGCAACCATACTAGAACAAAAGGTTGTATCTTGCCTCAATGTCAACGTATGATAAGTGCCTACCCAAGGGTCGATCGTTCCGTTCGCTCGCATCGAAAGATCGCGCTTCCATAATCGTCTTTCCACCTCCCGATCACGCTTGACCAGTGACCTTGTTTCCTCTTCAGCACGACGGGCTAGCTTATGGAAGAAAGTTTTCCGCGTGTCCTTCGTGCCTTTCCTTCTCTCAGCGAAGGGAATGACTTGTTCAGTGGGGAATATAAAATTAGGATCGGGTATAATGCCGTTTTGTGGGTACGTCAAGGTAATGTTGAAACCGCAGAGGTCAGTCCTATATTTTTCAGAAATGAAATGCAAGTCTTTTGGAGAAGATTCTGAAGACTTACTGCTCCTTAAAATAGTTATAAACATCTTGGTCGTAGCCTATTATTTGGGGTACGTTTCAAGTACACTCAGCTGGAATCATCATTAGTGCTTTGAAAAGTATTACTACGGCAAACAGCCCGACTTACAGCAGGTAAAAATTCAAAAACTGGTTCAGAGGTATATGTTCCGTCTCCGATTGCTATCTTCGCAACGTTGACAGGGGGATTCTTCATATCAAAGTACGCTTTTAGGATGTATGGCTGTCAAGCGAATGAATACTTATTTGACTGTCCAGTAGACCGGCCCAGCTTACAATGTATTGTCCTGCATAACTTTCCCCAGTTATGTGAAGTGGGCGGGTTGCTAGGCTTGGGAAAACCTTGACTAAGTTGCCCAAGAAGCCCATCTGTAAGGTTTTGTAAGAGTGCTGAGCATAGAGGATATAGTAGAACACCCACGAAGTCCTTCCCAATTTGGTCTTCATCGACAGCTGTGCGGAGCCACGACTATTAGCAGGGTGTCGAGGCTTTAGAAAAATCCATACCGTAGCCGTTAGGATCCGCAGTTGAAAACCCAACTCCACTGCAATCTCATTGATAAATTAGCCGGCCTGCAATTATAGGATGTGACTCGTACACTGGCTGATCTATCCAAAAGTAATCTGCCAATTTATCCCAGCTGTGGGTATTGGGTCCTGCAGAATAGTCCCCTTTAATCTGGATTGGACCATTCTTCCGAATTGAAGGAAATTTAGTAAAGCATAATGTTCGGTAAGATAATACTTTGTTACCTCAAAAAAGAACCCAAGCATGCTTGAGGTACCAGGGCTAACGTGGAATCGGTAAGGTACAGCGCCAAATTTTAAATATAAGATCTTGAATTTACCCTCCATTGAGCCAAATTCCCCAAGGATCGCGATTAGTTCGGTTTAGGGGTGCTGTGAGAGAGCCTGGTGTCTTCTCGACTCCAATAAAGAAAAGGGTATCATTTGGATGACTAGGACGCTGAACCGGAATATTGCCTGCAAACATTCTTCCAGTTTCAAAGGTCACATTTGGCAGTTTATTTGTGACTAGGAAATCTAAAGCACACCATCGCGTCAAAAAACCAGTAAGATCAGACATGCGTCGAGCTCACATTTTTGCCATGCAGGACTAAAATCACCAGGCGGCTTTCCGGGTAACTTTGAGGGAACGAGTTCGGAAGAGGCGTGTCTTGAGAGGTGACGAATGAAGCTGTCAGAATCGTGAAAGCAAGATGCAGAGCGAGGCGTCGACAAGTCATGATGAAGAAGTGGTAAAATCTAGTTGTGGGAGTTTACGCGACTGCCAGGATCGCTGTTCAGATTGAGACTGGCAAACGCGTCTTATATACGAGTGGGTGTCAACTCCCGAACCATAACCACATGGGGTTGTTCCTAAGACAATTGTCCGTTGAACGGTTGGATGACAGTTGCAGACGCGTACCTTTGTGTGAGGAACACGCTGAAGAAGGAAGCGAGGTATGGGATCAATGTTTATTGTCTGCGAGCTCTGCCGACTCTGAAGTGCCTTGATCCGTGCAGAAACATCGGACGAAAGACTGGGAAGAGCATATCTAAGAGCCAGGTTACAAAAAGACAATAGACTCAGATTCACTTTCATCAGTAAATTTTGTACCCAAGTATAGTACAGTGTAATACACCTCCTTGGCACAAAACTTTTTATTCGTCAAATTAAAACACAATTATTAGAAATCCTGCAAAAAAATTTATATGAGCTTAATGAGGACCTTCTAAGGTATCAAATTGCTAATGATTGACTCCATTGCATGGATTATGGGTGAATTAGAGGATAATTTGTCGAGAGCAGCCTTTTGTCACAAATCCAGGTCCTTGGCACAAGTGTGACAATGCCATTTACTAGGCGACGCGTCCAACGCGCCGTTGAGTGCGCGTGTCACGCTCTGATCACGGTTGCCCTTTCATGCCCAATTTTGCCCTCAATCCGTGCATTTTTCATGTCAAATCTAGCTGACATCGAAGGCAGTACTGTTCTAAACATGAATCTAAAATTCAGGGCTGAAAGCTGCACTCCAAAATGAAAAAAGTTAGGTCCAAAAAGTTGTGAAGGATGATTTTCTCTAATTTTGATGGGTAATTGCATTGTCCTGCCTCGACAACTTTATCCCGTCAGCTGAAATTTTGTATGGCGATAGATTAAGTATATATCAAGGCATATACATAGATTTTATGGCCGACCGGCGAAAACTAAGTTCGGAAATCGCAGTTGTGCCAAGGAGGTATCATGTGCCAAGGAGGTGTATTACACTGTATCTACACAAGAAGATGAATCAGGACCAAGGCGGAAGTGTCTATCCGTAGACCGGATGCCGATCTGTCTATGAAGCAGCAAGCTGTAATCTGTCGATAGACAGACCGGTGTATCTGAGTTTAAATCCCCGTAGCGCGCATTTCCCACGCGGTTTGGCTGAGGCGTTTGAATATGGCTTAGGTGGAATTTGGCCAACCCTAAACTCGCTCCTCAGCAAGACGCGTCGCGTCGCGTCTTCCCTCGTATTGTCCGCGCCAGGTGCGCGCCGTAGGGCATCTGGCTCATGAAAACACATTGCCATGGACCCTAACACAGATTCTCTACATGAAGCTCTCAAAAATATACGCGATTTGCCAACTGAACTTCTCCTACAAGAATACCAGGCTCGGATACCAGCTGAACTCGCTCCTGCTCAACAATTCTGGTCTGGATACGACGCCTTCTGAAAGACTTCAAATGACTCTGAGGTTACCGGAGGCTCGAATTGCAACTCCTCGTGAGGTTGGGACGATCCAGCGAGGATAGGCGGCTGTAAAAGCGACGCTGCCGATGTTGATTGTTCCGTTGCAGTCGAAGTCGGTTCCGTCACGGAGAACGTCGACGTTTGCGTGCTGAATAGTGGTGCGCGCTTCTTTCTGGACTTTTTGGCCGGTGGTGGCTTCGCAGCAGCAAGGATCTCAGCGGAAGTCTTGGGAATCATGGAGAGGATGAGGCGGATGGGAGGCAGGGAGCGCGGTAGAGGGAGTGTAGTTTAGGGTTGGCCAGATTCCACCTAAGCCATTTTAAAATGCCTCAGCCAAACCGCGTGGGAAATGCGCGCTACGGGGATTTAAACTCAGATACACCAGCCTGTCTATCGACAGATTTC